CAACCGATTCCAGAGGGTGAGGACGCGGCGCCGCCATGCCTCGGAGGTATCGCCAGCTTGGGCTCGAATCCGCTCCAAGCTTTTTTGCACGGGATTCCAACAGCTTAGTGAAGCGGCGGCGAAGGGCGAGATTTCGGTCCTCCCGTTTCCGGAGAAATTCAGCTCTCGGCACGCTGTCTCCTGGTGAGGCTAAGTGTGCGTTGAACGCGGCCAATGGAGTAGACTCGGCCTGCTCCATTTCGTCGGTCCAAATTGTCTTGGGGTTTGCACGGCTGCCGCGCGGTATGGTGCGCTTTGCCGCTCGTAAAATGCCTCTGCGAAATTCCAGCCATGTGGTCACAGAGGCCAGAAGTTCTTCACCTTGCGAAGTGAAAGCGGGCCAATCGGCTTTGCGCAGCGCAAAGGTGGCTTTCTTCCGCCGCGGTAGAGCGTTTGCCAAACGCGGGACGCCGTCCTCTGTCCCTACGGAGTACGATATCAGACAGTGGTCGGAATCCAAGTAGGGGGTGGAGCTCCAGTGGGAAACGCGCAGGGCGCGGCAGGCAGTCACGTCCGGGGACGAGGTGCTGCGCCCACTGGGCCGCGTGGCCTGCGCCGCGTCATTGGCGATCTCAAAGCCCGTGTCGACCAGCGCCGCCGCGAGGAGTTCAGCTTCCTCCGCCGGCGGCGGGTGACTGTCCCAGAGCTCATGGTGGAGGTTGGCGTCTCCTGCGACGATCGCGGTAGAACCGAGACGTCGAACGATGCTCACTAGTTGAGCAGCGTGAGCCAGTGCCGATGGGGGGTTGTAAAAACTCACCACGCACATGCTGGGAAAAGCAGGCGGGAACACGCGAACGGCAATAGCCTCCAGGGGGTCGGTGCCAGGGGGCGTCAGGCACTCGCACGGCAGGGTGTGACGGACCAGAACGGCTACGCCGCCGCCGCGCCTACCGCGGGCCCGGTGGAAGTCCGTGTACCCAATGAACATCGTCGCCGTGGCACTCTGGTTCTTGACCTCCTGGAGGAGAACGATGTCTGGCTGATGCCGGGCCAGACATGCAGCTAGTGCGATGTTTTTGACAGGCGAAAGGCCCGCGATGTTCGGCTGCCAGGCGACAACGGAGCCGTCCTCACCGGGGCCCGGGTTCTTACGCGGACATCCCCGCAGCGGGTGATGTCGACGGAGTGACCGAAACGGATCGGTCGTGCGGTTTTGTCGGCCGGCCTGCACGCAGACCGCTCCACCTCCCCACGCCAGGCACGGCGTGGAACCTTCTCGAGGGGTGAGTCCGTCTTGGTCTCCGTCGCGCCCGCGGCAGTGCCCCGCTGCGGAGTTCTCGTGGCCCAAAGCCTCGGCACCGCGTCAAGGTGCAGCGTCATTGCTGGAAAGCAAAAAAAGCTCACAAATGCTTTCCTGGCCTGCCGGAGACGATACCTGGTGGTGTAGTGGCAGGCACAGCGCCCTTACTGAGGCGC